AATGATCTTTCAGAAATCACTTAATGTTGAAAACCATTCAGCTGCTTAATAATAAAAAAATTTAAAGTTTACTGGAAAAATTATAAAAATGACAATAAAAACAACACAAGGAAATTAAGAAGCTATAATGTAACTTCTTGACAGCTATGAATACCTACACAGACTTTTGATGAAAAATGATGGCATATGGTGCAAAACATTACTGATCTGTTTATCATATTCATCCCATTCTAACTGATGCATCCAAGGCTATCAACAACTCATTCTCACAGTTTCAACAAAACCTCATCTGTGTCAGCCAGCCAGATAACTTACTGATTTGCAAAATTAGCAAAAACATTCAATAAAAAAAAATGTTTCAGCTTGCAAAACATAAAAATCTGTATATAATCAACACAGGTTCAAAAGATGTAGTGACAACACAACGTTGATTAACTAGACCAAAACACTCTCACAATGGCTTCAGGACTGTCAGAACCTCCTTATTGTTCACCCCTGACCAGACAAGACAGAGGAAAATCACCATCTCAGCAGAAAGGATCACATCTATCATAGACATATGATAACATGCAACAACAAATATCTTTGGAACTTCACTGATGCACATTATGATACTTTTCTTTGGCTTAAATTAGTAAGCTACAGAAGGCCATTTGAGGCCTTTGAAGGTAAAATCAAGCATGAAGCTCTTACAATTAATATTTATCTAAATAATATTCATATAAATATTACAGTGTCACTTTAAAAGGGTACAAAAAAACAAAAACGGTTATACATTGAAAGTGAAAATTTGGTTTTAACAAACAAAAAAAAATTTTTAATTAAAAAGGTGAAATGAACCATTAAAACCAATTGCTCTGAATTGCCACCTTTGTCACAAAACACTTCTAATATCTCTTAATACCTAATCAAACAGTCTAGTGTGCAGCTCGTTCCATTTCCTATGACTATCACTAATAACTGTTTGAATCATGTACACTGGCAGGTATAATTACAGAGCACCCGTTACACACTGTGAATAGCGTGATTCATTTGATTATAAAATATACCATTTCATTCTCAAAAGGCTTCCATGGGTCTCCCTCCAATGGAAATTGCTTTGGGCTTTCAATTTAAATGCACATATGGGCCAGGCGATGACATAAACACAAGAGATTAAACTCAGAAAATCTGCATAAACATTTATTTTCTTGTCCACTGCCCACCGCCAAACATTTTAATAAAATCAATTGTTCCACCTTAACAGCTACAAGGTTTCCCTACCATGCCAAATGAGTCAATATAACAATCAATCTAGTGTTTAAATGACATTTTCTTTACAGAAAAACATAAAGGCTACCTGTATGAAGCCCCCTCAGTCTCTGTTTTTTCCTTGTCAAAGGGAAGTAAACAGGTCCTAGTATGAGAAAAATGAGAAAGCACATCAGCGGTGCAGATTACTATTCCACAGGTATGAATGCCAAAGAGTGAGACTCACATAAAAGAGAAATCAGAAGTATAGTTTCACAAACAAATAAATAATACAAAACTTTGTATGAAAAATACAGGTGCTTTCTGGACAGTTTTAGATCACAATTTCTTATCTCAAACAGAATTCCCAACCGGAATAATTGATTCTATGGCAAATCGAAATGAAAACTGATAGTCTAAATCATTCATTCAAGCACTCAGTTGCTGATATCACAAACATAAAATGGTGCGTGTTTTCACATTAATCAGGGAACATTTGTAAGACTCCAGCAGTTTGACACAATGTAAGCCTACAACACATTCGGCCTAGAAACAAGACAAACACAGCAACAATATTACATTAATATTAGCCCACTAAAGTATACTGAGGTGATTTTCAATATAATCAATAACTGGTCTGATATCCATGGAAGACAGTGAATATTAACCAATCAGAAACGTGTTTCTAAATGAACATTTGCTGGATGGATGGATGGATGGATGGATGGATAGATAGATAGATAGATACATAGATAGATAGATAGATAGATAATATTTTGTCATATTAATCTAGGAAAGTCTATGACAGCTACTCCTGCAGTTTTGACACAAGGCATGCTGAGATGAGCCAAACTCCATCTTGTATTAAAACTGCAGGATATAAATTATAAATGTTGCAAGTCTTGGTTTGAAAATGGCGCTGGACTTGCAAAGGCCAGACAGACAATTAGTCTTCCATTCGTTATGCCTGGAGGACAGATAGGGTCCTTTTGTATTGTCCCATATTACACTTTAGTTGTTAAAACTAACTCCAAGGAGAGAAATTCCAACTCATAGCTTCAGCTGTCTCTCGGTGATAAAGCTACAGCGGTTTTTGCACAAACAAACGCTGAATAAATGTTTTCCTTCTTCGATAATGAAAATGTCTCAGGTCTCAGAGACAGGTGAACCTCAAGTAAACATGCTGAACATATTGAGCACGCGGTGACACGATTTCTAACCGATCTAATCAGTCATATTTCCGCAGTTGTATTCATTAACTTATGACTTTGTCATTTTGTGCGTGTGCCGCAGATGATAGATGAGTATAGCTAAATGCATTTTCAGTCCTGTGGTCTACTCCCCATCGAAAATGAAATCTATTTTGAACGTGCGCACGTTCGCAGCTGTGGTTGGACATGAAACAGCCAAAACCGATTGAGTGCTGAATTGGACTGACAGTTGAAAGAAAAAATCCGGCTTTAGTGAAGAATCTAGGCACATATTACCTGGAGAAAGGTGTTCGCGTTCCCGCTCAATGACTGGCTCAAGATCATTGGACTTCTTCTACTATGTAAATGCCACAAAACCTTTCATCAAAGTTGTCCTAAAACCAAAATGCGTTCTTTTCTAGAACAACTTTGATGAACTTTTTTGATATATATATATATATATATATATATATAATCAATACCTGGTCTGCTTTTCATGGACAACGGTGAATTTTATAGTGAATTTTGGTGAAGTGATTGTTTTTAAACCAACATTTAAGATCTATAGCCATATTATATAATATCAGAACTTAAAACAGAATTGTTCTGCCAGAATAGAGACTAATTTACTGCCAGATGGTGTAGTTGCGTCATCTACCAGCAGGGCAGGGGGCATGCTAACCAGCTAAACCTTGACCCCTTGATGCCACATAATATTTCACATTGAGGCCAAACATGTGGCTTCAGCTGTCAAACTGATCTATCAATAATAACACACTTAGTCAAGTTGTAGCTGTAATTAAGATTAAGCTAAAACATAGCTGGACTTCTCAGCTTTCCGATCATATGGTTTGTTAATGGGTTTCAGAGGTCTTGTGAAGTCTAATTATATTCAAATTGACATGTTCTTACCTGGAGGGTCCTGTAAGGTCCTTCATCAGTTCCAGTAAATGAATATTAAGAATTAGTCTTCATTAAAAACAAAAAACAGACAGCTCTTATGACCATTAAACACAGCTAATTAATGTTAATGCCCTAAACATAAGGAGACCTTGAAGACTTTTCCCTCAGGCCATTCATTTAGGAGGGTCAGGAAGTTATTCATAATGAAACAGCTGCATCAAATTGAAAAGACGAAGACAAAAAGATGAATCTTTTACTGCTATTACTAATACAAGCCATTTTGTCTCTCTCTTAAAGGAGAGCAACACTGTAATTGAGAATGAATGTCCCCTGATAGACCACTTTGTTCTCATAGGGCAACCTCTTAATTTTGGATTAAAATATAGGACAAAGTATCATTAGCTGACAACACTATTTCTCTCTTGCCATTTAAGATGAAAAAACAACAACAACAAATGCAAATGTAACGCTTAGAGCTGATGTTATTTCTGAAATTTCCTGAAATTTAGTGAAAGGCATATTTGATCACAGGCAATGATTCAAATAACCTTGATATTGGGGTGGTTCATTGCTGCATTTCATTCATTTTCAAATTCAGTGTGACTAAGTTGGTGTCAGTTTCTTCCTCAAAGCCTCTCTGTCTGATGACGAGGTGGGAAATAAACTGGGGTGACACTGCTGAACACAGACTTTTATTAGTTGTGAGGTGTTCTGTGTGATTATATGCTTTTTTAAAGGGGTCATATGATGCTTTTTTAAAGATCATTATTTTGTGTATTTGGCGTAACAGAATATGTTGACATGCTTTAATGTTCAAAAAACAGTGCACACCAGTTTTCTGAAACACCTCAGTTGTGAAGATTTCATCCACACCAATATTCTGGGCTGCATGACTAAAATTAAAAGATTTTCTTTGTGTATATAAAACTGGTCTAAATTACACTCATGAGTTATCTGCATATATTATTGTCAGATATATATATTACAGAAACAGTGTAATAGTCTACAGTTTTCTATTTTAATATATTTTAAAATACCATTTATGCCTGTGATGGCAAATCTGAATTTTCAGCATTACTCCAGTATTCAATGTCACACGATCCTTTAGAAATCATTCTGACGCTAATTCAATGCTCAAGAAACATTTATTATTATTATCAACAGTTGTGCTGCTTAATATTTTTGTGGAAACTGCTATACATTTTTCAGGATCCTATGAATAGAATGTTTAAAATAACAGCATTTATATCAAATAGAAATCTTTTGTAACATTATAAATGTATTTTACTTTTCACTTAGATTATTTAATGTGTCCTTGCAGAATAAAAGCATTTTTATGAATAAAATAGCTGACTGACCCCAATAAAAAAAATAGCTGACTGACCCCAAACTTTTGTACTGTAGTGCGTATATAGTATTTAGAAAGGGCTGTGTGTGCAGGTGGATCGAATTGCAGAATGGTTTTAAATGACTCCCTGAACCAGTTCACAGGAAGTGATTCGCTAGAATTATTCGGACTTTCCAGCGCTTCTGATTCAACAGCAGCTTGTCAAATGTTACCACAGCGACGGGGCTTCACCCGAAGAGGGCGTGTCGCTGGGGGCGGGCAGGGGGCGGGGCTTGCTGCCCAACTCTCCAGCGTGAATTCACACTCTCTCCACTGCTCGTCCAGATTTCACCTGCGAACTACGCACAGAGCAACCGCCTGATCTTTTCAACACACTCAACCAGAGAGTTCCCTTGATACAATCAAACAACTTCCGACGTACATATCTCTGTTGAAAATTTCTTCGGACTGTATAAAAGAGAGCCGGGGTTTTCTATAAGGATGCAATCGGTTGTCTGCCTTTTCGGTGCCTTCATAGCAGCCGCTGTGTTTCATCCAGGTATGTCATTGAATTTACAATGAAAATATTGTAATCTCACTCTCCCATTCTTTCATGTAACATCGCTGGCGTATTCCGAGAATTTTGTTGAACAGGGTCGTTCCTATAGTGATCATTCGACTGTTTTACTTCCTTACATCAATGAACATCAACAAGTTTTTATTATAGCCGTTGCCGTAGTTCGTTGGCAATCATTGCCAGGTCATGTGTTGCACTTTTCATTTCTCTCACGTTAACAAGAGGTCAACTCTCCACCTGACGAAGACTAAGCCATCTGTGCCCGCCTCAGACATTCACATTCATTCATTTTATCACCAGCAGTAGGGGACTGCGATAAAGCTTTCAATTTTAAAGGATTCTCGGTACAGAAAAGTGAATAGGAAGTGTTTAAACTTTTAGTGTGGACGGGTGACTTGACTTACGACGTAATGTTGTTGATACTACGCGTTTCTGTTTCGGTTCAGCCGCATCACACGCAGAAACATATAGCAGTGACATCACACCTGCGCGTGTTTCTGAAAATCCCATCATAGATCTATTGTATGCGTCAGTCCCAAATAGAAACTAAACGCGGACCTTAAAGGGACAGTTAAGCTAAATAATAATAATAATAAAGTCATGTCATCCTTTACTCACTCGCATGTTGTTGTTAAGAACCTGCGTGGCTTTTTTCTTTACGAAGAACACAAACTGAACTTTTTTTTTTTTTAAATACCCTGATCTTCTGAAGTCATACAATAGGTTTGTATGAGAAACAAACGGAAAACACACAGTGTGCCCGGAATTGAGTCAGTGAGAAATGATTAGTTTGACCGATGAACGAATCATTCAGATATGATTTTGTGAACTGAATCATCAAATTCACAATGCTATTGTATGACGCCGATGACTAGAAATCTTTTGAACTACATTTATGATACTTTTATTGTGATTTGCGTTATCTTTTAAGCTTGATCGCTCACGTCCCCATTCATTGTATTAGCATGGGTATAAAAAAAAGGAACAGGATATTCTTCATTCACCCTTTCTTTTTCACAAATGAAAGAAAGTCACACGGGTTTGGGGTGAAATGATATTAGATACAGACTGAAATTTTGGGATGAACTAGGCTATCCCTTTAATAAGCGATTGCATTATTTTGTGTTCAGGCATGGCTGTTGCCTAGCGTGCACAATTTATGTCAAGTTAATCAGTGATTAAAGTCTATGGGATTTTGAGACGCGCGCGAACACCGCTGCCCAGCTTAAATCTTTTTGAGCGCGTGAGTGCGCTATGTGTGTGTGCGCATACGGGGAAAGAGAGAGAGAGAGGGAGAGTGAGCGAGCGTGTGCATGCTCACGAGAGGTTGCGGGGGTGGAGGGCGGTGTGTTACAAATTCAGCCATTTGACTGGTGTATGGTTTTATCAGTGTCACATGCTTGTTTGCTCATCAACATTTATTTGAGATGTCTTTATTCGTCTTCATAGATCGGCTTAATCTATGTTAAGGCGGTAAAGTGATTGACAACTTTGAGGTGGCAGCTGCTGTAATACTGCTCATCATTCTTTTTGAAATGTTTTTTTTTCTTGAATAATGGCCCACTAAAGATACGTGCTCTTCCTGATTATCTATCTATCTATCTATCTATCTATCTGCCTTTTTCAATTTCAAAAGTTCACTGTTTATTCTTTTTACTTTGGCTATAGGCCTACTATATATATGCTTCAGCAGGAGACTGATCACCTGTATGCAAACAGGTAAAGCATCTCTGCCATCTTAGCTAGCTTAGTGGTTGGAACGTGATGTATTTTATAGCAAAAACCTGCTCTGTGCAGCTTCCTGAATACATTTAATTTGTTGATCATTAAATAACCTGACTGATGAAACATTTCCTTATTCTGATTATGAAGAATTTTTCCTCTCATTCTGAAAGCTGCATGATTAAAGGACTGATGAATGTGGACTGGATTTAGAATGCTTGAAAAGGTTTCAGAAATCACAGTAATATTTTAAATAAAAAAAATTCTTGGAGATTCCTTAATGTGCATTTGTAAAATGCACTCTTGGAAAATTTCTGTTGGGTTAAGTTAGGGTTACTGAAACCACAGCTGCATTTTCCGTTTGCATATCAGTGACGTCACTCTGAATGACATATGACCAGTGAGGACGAACTGAAATGCTTGATGAACCAGAAAGCAGGCCTTTGTTTAGCACGAGAGATGAAAAAACCTAATTACATTAAGGCCGACACTAAACCGCATCTCCACCAGGAAATACCACATCTGATCATTTAAGCATTCAAGTGAAATATTCATGTCACCGTGGCCTGATGGGGGAATATTTTGTCATTGTTTATTGGCAGGCAAACGCTTGAGCTGATTAACGTCAGTTCCACTTAGATATCAAACAGGAAAACGCATGTAGTGAAAAGAAAAGTCTAATTCATATTTGCATATTCATTTAGTTTAAGCCTAACTATGGAACTGCTTTCAGGAAGAGCCAATAGGAGCATATGGTAAAAGCTAATTTTACAGCTTTGGGGCTTTGTTCGTCTCAAATGGTGGGAAGAGAGAAAAAACCTGAGAGCATAGGCTAAGTGAACAATGTTTCATGTGCTAAAATGATTGTGGGTATTATTCTGAAATTACTGGATCCAGGCTTGGATGAGACAGGCAGTTAAGGTTTCAGAATGTGCTTTTGACCAACCATTTAAAAGGGTTGAAGTGCCGAGGCCATTATGTCATCATTTATTCATATTTAAATTCCCTCCCGACCACTCACGCACATGCACGGGTAGAAATACAGTCAATATTTCCTGTGGTGTGACACACTATACTACACCTCAGACTATTTTTAAAATCATTTTCCATGTATAATTGCTCACATTAATTGCAAGACCACGTGTTAATTGAGATGATTATTATTTTTTGCTTTACAAAATCATTTGTCACACTGCAGGGCCATTTCAAATTAAACTAATTGGTATTTAAAATGGCAAAATGGTATTTAAAAATTGTAGGGGAAAAAGTGCCTATTACAAGACCTGAGATGTACAATTTCCCTTATAAAGCCCTTATGCAAATAAAATTTAAGCTAGAATGTTGTTGATAATAAAATAAATTGACATGTTATTTGTCATCTACCCATATACTGTCTAAAAATACTTTTTACTATTTTAGGTATGAAACTGTGTGCCATGTACAATACATAATGGGAATTTTTTTAAATCAAATTAAATGTGTTCAGCATAAAATTAGGGAAGCTCTGTCACACAGCAGGAAAATGCTCATCATGTGACATTTTCCAAAAATAACGCTTGTTTGTCAGCCTGTTTGCAGAACTTCATTTAATTTTATTGTACGACAAAGAATATGTTGTTGATTATAAATGCACTGGAAATTCATTGGAAAATACAGTTTGAGTTCAGGCTATTGTTGTGGGATTCTGTCTGATCTGACAGGCGATTGGTGTGGTTCATGCTCTTGCTTGAGGAACCCATACCATCCTTCAATATTTCCTAGTGTAGTTTCTAAGTGACAGAACATGACATGTCATGATTTATCCTGAGATGTAAGGCATGTTAGTATAGGTCTGTTTCCCCCACACAGACGTTGCTGTAAGCTATGTGGGCAGTTTCAAGAGAGAGTTCAGAGTTCTCCCCCACCCCAAACAAACACACACACACACACACACACATAACCCATAGCCTTTACTCAAAGGGTATTTGCTGTTATGACCCTCTGGCTCTTTTTGGTTGTGTGTTGAAGAGGTCAGTTTCTCTGTAGTGCTGTCAACAGGAGACGGATCACCTGTATGGAAACAGGTAAAAAAAAAACACCTCTGCCATCTTTGCCTGCTTGGATTGTGTGTTCTAGATGTATTTTATAGCAAAAAACCTGTTCCGTGCAGCTTCCAGAATACATTAATTTGACGATCATTAAATAACCTGGCTGATGAAACGTTTCCTTATTCTGATTATAAAGAATATTTCCTCTCATTCTGAAAGCTGCATGATTAAAAATGAATGTGGACTGGATTTAGTAGCATACATGAAAAGGTTTCAGAAATCATAGTAATATTTTAAATAAAATAATTATTGGGGATTCCTTTATGTGCATTTGTAAAAGGCACTCTTGGAAACTTTGTTGGGTTACGTTAGGGTTACTGAAACCACAGCTATATTTTTATTTCCATTTGCATATCAGTGACGTCACTCCGAATGACATATGACCATGAGGAGGAACTGAAATTCTCTCTGAACCAAAAAGCACAGGCCTTTGTTTAGCATGAGAGATGAAAAAACCTAATTACTTTAAGACCGACACTAAATCGCATCTCCACCAGGAAATCCCACATAATGATAATTTAAGCATTCAAGTGAAAGATTCATGCCACCGTGGCCTGATGGGGGAATATTTTGTCATTGTTTATTGGCAGGCAAGGGCTTGAGCTGATTAACGTCAGTTCCACTTAGATATCAAACAGCAAAACGCATGTAGTGAAAAGAAAAGTCTAATTCATATTTGCATATTCATTTAGTTTAAGCCTAACTATGGAACTGCTTTCAGGAAGAGCCAATAGGAGCATATGGTAAAAGCTAATTTTACAGCTTTGGGGCTTTGTTCGTCTCAAATGGTGGGAAGAGAGAAAAAACCTGAGAGCATAGGCTAAGTGAACAATGTTTCATGTGCTAAAATGATTGTGGGTATTATTCTGAAATTACTGGATCCAGGCTTGGATGAGACAGGCAGTTAAGGTTTCAGAATGTGCTTTTGACCAACCATTTAAAAGGGTTGAAGTGCCGAGGCCATTATGTCATCATTTATTCATATTTAAATTCCCTCCCGACCACTCACGCACATGCACGGGTGCACACGTATGTTCCATCACAGGCTTTTACAGTAAATTACTTAAGCCATGTGTTGGACCAAGCAACTGCTCTCCCATGAACACATGCACACACATGTACATTATCCCTCCTTTGTCTTGTCCATCAACCGCACTCCCCATTTGCTAATGG